GGGGGAGACACGTGGCAGGCGTCCCCTGTGCCTCGCGCCCCCTCCCCCCCGTTTGTCTCTTATGGTCTCAGCCCCCTTTGCCCGGGGCACTGGCGCCCTGTGTCCGGGGGCATGTGCACGTGTCGCGTGCCGGGGCTCCGCGTCCGCTCCCCACCAGGCTCTTCTCAGACCACATGCTCCCCACTGTCCCCCCACACCAAGGCTGGCTGACACACGTGCCCCCAGCCAGGTGCCAGGGACCCAGCCCCCACCTATGAATCCTTTCCCCCATGTGCTTGTTTTATTTTTCTCCTGCCTGCTGAGAGGAGTCAGTCCTGGCGTCCCTCAACCTGAGACCACCATGGGCAGATGAGCGGAGCTGGGCTGGGGGGGCGTTGCTACGGGCTGTCCCCCACCTCTTGGGGGTGCAGAGGTGCTGGGTCTCCTGCTCAAGGCTGCCTCCGTCCTGCTTCCCGTTCTGAACCCTGTTCGCCAGGTTCTGCTGGCCGATGCCCACAGCTAACCCTGAAGTTTTGGAGCAGGTTGAGCCGGGCATTTGGAAGTTACCGCATCGCGCGCAGGTGGAGAAGGGCCGTCCGGCTGAGCGTGAGACTCGTTTGGCCAACAGAGCGCGGAGTCTAAATACCAGCCACACAAATGGCCGTGAGCTCGTAAGCCTGGCTTACCCTCCACATTAAAGAGGGCACGAAGGCCCAGTTTTCCCTGCCCCACACAGGGCTGTCAGCTCCTGGTATGGACATGGAACCAAGCATGGTCCAAGGCTACAGGAAGGGCGCGAATCTCCAGTTTTCAGTGCCGTAGCAATGAAGTTTGCCACCCGGGACAGAGTCTGCATTGGCAGCCTGCCCTCGCCCCGCGCACAGATCCAGGGGCCACACAACCCCCCGCGCTTGCCCGGGAGTGCACGCAGAAGCGGGAGCCACACTTTCCCTGTGCCCCCCCAAATGAGCCACTCGTGGCTCCATCTGCGCCCTGTCCTGGCTGGGCAGCACCTGTCAGCGCCCCTTCTCTTCAGTGCCTGGGGCGGTCGCTCTGTTCGCCCCCAGCCCCTTTCTACAACACTGCGAATTCTCTCAGTCACTTACACAGTCTCTAGCAATGCCACATCCTATCCAGGACCCATTTGGGTGGGTCTTAAGTTATGGTGTACAGGCGTGACCAAAGGTTTGATGTTACATAAGTCATGTATGCTAAACACCTATATACCGTACATTAGATATCAGGGGTGCGTTGTTAAACCCCCCCGCGTGTTAACAAGTTTATTTGCAGGGGTTGACATTCATAGAGGCTCAAATTTGGGTGGACCTGGAAGCTAATTCAGTGAGCTGTGACCCATCCCAGAACGACCTGTCACAAAACGGCGCCAACGTGTTTCTGTGCAGACAGTTGCAACTTGCCACACCAATGCTGCCAGTTTCATAGATTCATAGATTCATAGATGCTAGGGTCGGAAGGGACCTCAATAGATCATCGAGTCCGACCCCCTGCATAGGCAGGACAGAGTGCTGGGGCTCAATGACCCCAGCTAGATGCGTATCCAACCTCCTCTTGAAGACCCCCAGGGTAGGGGAGAGCACCACCTCCCTTGGGAGTTTGTTTCCTGCCTGGACAGAGGCTCCAAGTGTGGATACCACCAGGATTTGAAGTCTCATTTAAAAAATATTAGTCTTGTAAAGGACACAAAACTCAAACCCATTTCCTCATCTTTTACTTCCTTAATTACCAGTGATTACCAGAAACATTATGTTCCCTTTCAAGCAGGGTCAGCATGCAGGCATTCAGGGGAACACATTCAAAGACCTCTCCCCCCACCCACAGGAAAGCACTAATTAAATATTTTGGATATTTTTATAGCCATAGACTGGTAATATAAAGAGGAAGTGCCAAGGCACAGTAGGGTCATGATTAAAATTTTAGCAGTTCACATAACAAACCACCTCTTTGTATTCGTATCCTCTGCTCCTTTACACAGACAATGGCAAAAGATTCCTTGTGACTGAGCATGTTTTACTGATAATGTTATACAGCATTTTGCAGGATCTCTGGAAGAGTAAGAAGAATAAAAAGGGGTAGATTGTTGAAGAATTAAAATTTTAATAAGAATAATATCCAACACAAATACAGAGGAGGTTTTAAATCCAGGTACACATTAAGTTTAAGCCAAAAGATTTCAAGATCAGCTGTACAAAGCTGACACAAACAAAGGGAACTGCTGTCTTCTTGCACCTTTTAATGTATCTTGAAGACTTGCTCTGACAGACAAAAGAGCAACACTGGAGTGCAAAGGTGGCTGACAAATGTTATTTTCCTAGAGAACACAAAGGCTATTGCTAAGGAAAATATCAGTGACATCCAGCAATGAAAACAATGTGCAGTTGCCAGAGATGTATGTGCGTTTCCCTGAATACTGTCTCCTAGCAAGACCCTCCTACAACATGGCTGCTGCCCTAATTACACGTCTCTGCTCAGCCTCGTGAATAGCAAGTGTTCAGGACAGGACACTGACTTAGAAAATGGGCATGCAGGGCTGGCTTGAACTCTGACTGCCTGAATGAGGGATTGTTAAAAGTCCTGAGAGAGATTTTCAGTGTCATCTCGAACCAGGCACAGCAACATTCCTCAACAGGAGGAGAGGTTTTAAATACTGTTTTAGAATTCAAATTAGGGAAGTGTCTCTCCAATATAGGCGTGAGTTGGAAATTAGCAAGAGGAAGAAATCATCAAAATGAGGGATGCAAGAAAAGCCCAGCAGGAAATGTCTCTGTTGCAAAAATGTACTGGATGTGTAACTTGCTAAATGCCTTCTTTTTGTGGCTTTAGTTTCAAGGCACAGCGCTTCTGAGGTTTGTGCTGC